ACCTAGTGTTTTCAATTACTGTCTTAAAAACAAACAGTTTTTCTAGTGTCTGAGCTCTCACCATTCAGAAAATGCTTTCCTGATGTTGACTCTTTTGACCTTTATTTTGGTCTGACCTTCTTCTTCTCTTTTTAGCTTAAAAAGTTTTCTATATTTCCTCGGAGGCTCCACCATAATTAACACACAATAATAAACTCCAACCATCTCTAGCTCGTCTGTTCTAAAGTGTAACATTGGATTGCCGTAAAGCTTTTTTGCGAGATAGGTAAATTTGTGAGACTTCAGACATTCTGCCGACAAGGCGCAGAGGGGTCTGAGAGACTATTTATTCACCCTGTAAAAGGTCACTTTAGCAGCTACTTTCTCAAGAAAATCATTTGAAGATTGACAAAGTTTGAGTATAACAAACTTGTGTAAATATGGTACTTTGAACACCTTGATCTGCTAGAATTGTAACTGAAGCCATTTTTAACTTTTTGACAACTCCATCAATAAAACTCAGAAGATAATCCATCTAATCATTATTCTGTCACAAAATTTAACCCTTGCTCATAACCTCTCTCCAAACCTCTGACCTAATAAAACTCTAGGGAATTTAGCTATGGTGTCCTTGCCATTATGCACTAAGCTGCTGGGACCTTTTGAACATGTTGTCGGTCTACAGTTTCAGTCCAACAAGTGGCATAAAGACTGATTTTCTTTCAACAAATTTAACTTCTAATTACAGAAGAAAACCCACTTGTGACTACTGAGCTGAAGGAGAGAAGACATCTTTACTATCTTTATCAAAATGGATCTTGAGCAAAAGAAATAAATCCCCAAAACTGATATTTAAAGAGCAAGTTCACAATTTTTTACTTCTTCATTTTTTAAATATGACAGGTCATACTGTTCTCAACCCCTATTTCCCGCATTACCTGCCAATAGACCGTTAAATGCTCAGGTTGGAAAAAACAGTCAGATCTATGTGAAAATGCAAAAGTGCATTCATGGATTCACCCATCTTGGCTTGCAACGGGGAGGGCTGCTGCTGATTTAGAGTCCAGGGGCGTCATTTATCAAGCTTGCTTACGCACAAAACGGGGCTGGAAAACTGCATAAGCAGCTTTCCGCAAACTTTGGGATTTATGAAAGAAAACTTAGCGGAAAAATGTGCGCAACTTTAAGTTGACTAAGGACCTTGCTTACACACATTTTGGACATGGAGAGCACCTGCAGTGCTGCTGCTGAGAAGGATACAATTATGAACTCCTGCAGCATTATCACTTGTACTGCTTTGTTTTCACACAAAAACAAGACCCTCCACACACACATGCACGCACACTCAGTCACACACACACGTGCGAGCGCGCACACACACACACACACAGCCTGAAGCGCAGAATACGGAATGCAGAATATCAGCAGGGGGGCAGATTGAGACAGAATGTCATGCGTCTGTGACAGTGTGTGTCCTGTCACTGTGACCCGATTGATGATGCGCCCTGGCTACTTGGACAAGGGAGATCTCCGTTTGGCTGACTGGTTAGAGCGTGTGACTTTCACCTGGGAGTCTGGGGATCGAATCCTGTTTGGACCTTTTTTTTTTTTACATTCGCCACAGATCTCTCTGAAGAACTCAGCATTGAGGGCTTCAGCAACGCTGTGGCACTCCGTGGATTTTCTCTTATTTGTTTTGCAAAAGTACTTCCTTTCATTTCTCCATCTCACCCACAAGTACCTCAATTTCTGTTTGTGAAATAGCGCTTCCTTGATTTGCGGTCGTGATCGAAATGCTGCAACAAGCTGGCTTATGTATATGCATGAGGTCCACAAGGCACTTTGCATCGACCATTTATGGCAGTAAGTGGGTGTGGCGAGGGCGGGATGTGACTAAAAAGCAGCTGAGGACCTTTCTAGATAGTTTCTGGTTCATGAAGTGGAGACTGCGTGCAGCTGTGTGTACTCCATGTTTGATAGATCGCAAACCTACTTGGTGTAAGTACATTTTTTTTTGCTGAGCTTAAGTACAGTTTTAGTAAGGATTCTACGCAATGTTTGATAAAAGAGACCCCAGGGGGTTTGTGGAGATAAAACATAAATATTGCAGAGCAAATGGAGGCAGTTGAAGAGTTGGAGTTGCTGATAGCCAATCAGAGGTGAGATGTCAGAAAATCAAACTCCAAATCCTGCCATCTTCTGCTCCCCTCTCCTCTGGCTAATTTCTATTTCCTGAAACAAGTGTGCCAGCACTTTTTTACCCTCAGAGATCGACTCACGAGGCATTTAATGGATATGATCAAATCCACATTGTTAACTTGTGCAGGTTGCACCGGAGTGCTGGCAGCAGATTCTTTGGGTAATGTTGATAAAGGTCTTAAGTTCTGGTGGGTGCATAGTTGTGGATTAATTCCTTTAATGTTCATATTAAACAACATCTTCCACTAAATAAAACATTACAATATTAATAATAATAATAAATTTTACATAATTGCATTGTTTTTAACTCCAAGCTAAAAAAGATCAGTTTGATCAGATTCAGCTTTTTCTCATATTTCTTGCTCATTATAGAAATACAATAAAACCAGAACTTTTGAATAAACTGAATGTTAAACGCCAGCTTGGAACACCAGTATCATGAACGTTTTTCAGCTTCAGACTTACAGCTTGGCATAAAAGATAAAGAAGGCTGAATTCAGCAACAGGATTAAGACAAAGACCCAAAGTTCTCCTTTTTCTCCCCAACAAGTCTCAACCCGTTATCTTCGTCTCACAAGCTGCTGACTGCAGCCATGGAACTGAGAATGGCACAGAAAAATAATGCATATTAATGCCTCTCACGTGGTGTTTGTTGTGTGAGCACACGCGCAAGCCCACGCCCATGTGCAGCCACTTTTCTCTGTGTGCGCATGTGCGTGCCTGATAACTATGCCAGATGTGTTAACGGCCATAACCATGACAACTGTTCTGAGCAAAAGATGGCGAGTGGAAGAGAGAGAGAAAGAGGAGGAGGAGATGAGTGCTAAACATGGTAGTCAGAAGAGAAATGTATTTTTCATGAGGCATCTGCTGTGATGGGCGGAAGCTCAAGGATACAATCAAAAATCTTTTGACTCAAGGTCCCAGACTGATTCTTAATATGATTGGGTCATATATAAAGGCTCATCTCTGCTTGTTAAGATTGGTTTTACTGTTAAATGTATGTGTGCATGTGTGTGTGTGTGTGTGTGTGTGTGTGTGTGTGTGTGTGTGTGTGTGTGTGTGTGTGTGTGTGTGTAAATGTAGCACGTCTGGTCTGTGTGCACTTGTGACTCGTCATCAGAGTGTTTGTGTAGCATTTTGATGTTCCTCCGAGTGCTGCATGATCTCAGAGGCTTAGTGATAAGAATTCAATGTAGTTACAAAGATAATGAGGTTTACATAACGCACGCACACACACACACACACACACACACACACACACACACACACACACACACACACACACACACACACACACACGCACGCACGCACGCACGCACACACACACAGGCTCACTGTGCTGACTAGAAATTCAGTCATATTAATTCCTCGTCACATAGTGGCTGCTGTTGGGTCAACATAAAAAGTTTCATTTACCCCTCTGTCGTGTTCACCTCCTGCCCCTTACTTTAGCCATTTTTAAACACCACTTTTTTTTCAACACTCCTTAGCTGTGATCGATGTCTCAAAGAAGTGTTTTACATACATTTTCTTTAACTTGTCAGTTTCTGCGTCCCCACCTCCTGCTCGCAGTATGGTTAGTTCTCGTTTTCTTAATGAGAGCACAGCTAGCAATTTTTCTGCTGCTTTTGATCCACCCTGTTCTTCTGATAACGACCCTGAATCCTTAACTTCTCGGTTTAACTAGCACTGCCTCTCCATTCTGGACAACATCTGTCCTGTCAGAACCAGATCAGTTCCTGCAGTGAACCCTACTCCCTGGTTTAATGACAGCCTTTGCAGCCTGAAGCGCCAGTGCAGAAAAATTGAGCGCTTGTGGAAGAAAACCCATCTCCACGTCCATCTGCTGCACCTAAAGGATCTTCTGACATCCTTTAACTCTGCAGTCAAAGATGCAAGGGTTTCCTATTTTTCCAACCTGGTGTCCCAGAGCAAAGGAAACCCCAAGGTGCTGTTTAACACCATCAGCAGCATCGTCTCTCCTGCCTCTCCTACAGCCTCCATCCACTCTGTTGAAGACTGTGAGAACTTTCTGTCTTTCTTTGTGGACAAAGCCAATAAGGTTAGATCTAGCATCTCTCCTTCAGCCTTATCGCTGCCTCTCCCGACTCGAACCAGGCCCATCATCTTAGATAGCTTTGCTCCTGTTTCTTTGCCTGAGTTAACCAAACTAGTTAACTCTATGAAGACCTCTGCATGCCCCCTCGACATCTTACCCTCATCTTTGTTTAAAAGTGCTTTTCAGTCCATCGGTCCCAGCGTGCTCTCTATAATTAATGCTTCTCTGGTTTCTGGTCAGGTCCCTGCTTACTTTAAGAACGCTGTAATCCACCTGCTTCTTAAAAAAACGAGTCTCAACCCCTCTCTCCATAGCAGCTTCAGACCCATCTCTAAACTTCCGTTCATCTCCAAGATCTTGGAAAAGGTTGTGGCTAAACAACTCACAGCTGCTCTTGATGAACATAACATCTATGATAGCTTCCCGTCAGGTTTTCGTAGAGCTCATTCTACTGAAACAGCTCTTCTTAGGGTCTCTAATGACCTTCTGACTCACAGTGATGCAGGAAACTGTTCTGGTCCTGCTGGACCTGACTGCAGCCTTTGACACTGTTGACCATCACCTGCTACTGGAGAGGCTGAGAGACTGGGTAGGCCTATCAGGATCTGCTCTGGAGTGGTTCTCCTGTTATCTCTCCAAGCGCTCCTTTTCTGTGGCCGTCCAAGTTTAGGTCCTCCACCACCTCTCTTACCCATGTTGTCCCACAAGGTTCTGTGCTGTGGCCTCTGCTCTTCCTCCTCTATCTGCTTCCTCTTCAGCACATCCTGAGCTCCTTCAAAGGAATCTCCTACCATCTTTATGCAGATGACATCCAACTGTACATCTCCTTCAAGCCCCATGAGATGTCTAAGATGCAGCTGTTACACACCTGCTTAGACTCTATCAAAACCTGGATGGCTGGGAGCTTTCTTCAGCTGAATGAAGGTAAGACTGAGATCCTCATCTGTGCCCCAGAGAAGCTGGTTCCCAAAGTCAGAGACTCTCTTGGTCAGCTGAATGAAGATAAGACTGAGATCCTCATCTGTGCCCCAGAGAAGCTGGTTCCCAAAGTCAGAGACTCTCTTGGTCAGCTTGCTTCTCACACCAAACCTTCTGTCAGGAATCTTGGTGTGGCCTTTGACCCAGCTCTCACCCTGGATTCTCATGTCGGTTCTCTTGTTCGCTCTTCCTTCTTCCATCTCAGGAACATTGCTAAGCTGAGTCCCATTCTGTCTCGCTCTGAACTTGAGACAGTTATCCACACCTTCATCTCCTCACGCTTAGACTACTGTAACTGTCTTTTCACGTGTCTGAGCAGAACCTCCCTAAACCATCTACAGGTGGTTCAGAATGCCTGTGCTCGGCTTCTGACCAAGTCCTCCAAACACACCTACATCACCCCGTTTCTCCTCCAGCTTCACTGGCTGCCAGTCAACTTCAGGGTTCATTTCAAGATCCTGGTTCTGGTCTATAGGGCCTTACATGGACAAGCACCATCTTACATTGGTGATCTTCTTAGTCCCTACACCCCCAGCAGGTCCTTGAGGTCCAGTGATCAAAGCCTACTGGTTGTGCAGTACACCAGGCTAAAGACCAAAGGTGACAGGTCATTTGCTGCTGTGGCCCCCAGACTCTGGAACTCTCTCCCCCTGAGCCTGAGATCAGTGGACTCAGTGGTCTCCTTTAAAAAGCAGCTGAAGACTCACTTGTTCAAGCTGGCTTTTGTATGAACTTCTTCGCCACTCTCTCTTTATTCTGCTCTCCCCACCTATTCCACCTTCCTCAGGATCCACTGATTTCCTTCTTTCCTATTCACTCCTCTCTTAACATTTTTTTAATCACAATTGTCTATTTTTGCTCATTTTAAATATATTTTAAAACATTTTCTAAATGCTTTTTTATATTTTAACATTTTTTGTTTTTGTGAAGCACCTCGTGATTTTTACCTTGAGAGGCGCTATAGAAATGATATTTTCTTCTTCTTCTTCTTCTTCTTCTTCTTCTTAATTTATAGACTTAGACAAAAAAATAACTGCAGTGAAAATATAATTAGGCCCTGAAAATGTATTGCAAAAAGAACATGTAATGTAAAACTTAAATGAAAAAACAAAGACCAAACTCATCATGAAGTTGTGTGTGTGTGTGTGTGTGTGTGTGTGTGTGTGTGTGTGTGTGTGTGTGTGTGTGTGTGTGTGTGTGTGTCATTTTGTAATTTCGCCAGCAGACGGGTCGTGTGTTTCTGACATGCAGAAGTGAATAATTGTTGAAAGGACATGAAACTGTTACAAGGACATAGTTGCCCAGAATATAGGCCTGCCAGGCTCTGCATCCCACAGACATTTTGTAGCCTCATTGAGTGATATACTCCTGCTGCAATCACTAGACCTTTGTAGGCTTGTAAGTCTGCCAGGCCAATTTCTCTCCAGGTGTCCCCAAACACACGCTTCCCCCTAGGTTTGTCATCTCCAATGTAATTCCCTCAATGCACTCTGGTAAAATGAGTTGGAAGCTGGACTTGATGTCATCCACACGAGATGTTGAATACCTCGTTTGCCCTGGCGTCATCTTTACGATGTTTTCCACTCTCGCCCTACTTCCTCTGCCTTGGGTGGAGGACGACCAGAGCAAGTGTCCACTCTTTGACTGGAATGTCTCCTCAGTTGCCTGCTCTTCAGGTGTCTCTTCATCTGTTGACCTCCTCAAAGTCTGGATCAAAGTCTGTGTTGTCTTCCACTTCATTGACAAAGTCCGCTATCGCTGGTTCAATGTCAGTGCCCTCTTCATCATGTCCAAAAATCTGGACGAGAACCTCTTCAACAGATAACCGCTTGGTCATTGGCAAACATCAAGCTATTTTTACATGGGGTCTGTGTGAAGATAGTACATGGATTAGTCTGGAAGGAGTGGTTCACGTTGGGAATAGGCACTATATTAGTGATGGAAATTCCGGCTGGTTCTTTTGGCTCAGCTCACCAAAAGAGCCGGCTCTTTCGGCTCCTCAGATTTTCTGTTGCGTAGAGTACATTTAACCAAAATAATGCAAAACTATATGTAAAATGATTTAATAATGTAAAAAAATGCAATATATCAAATATTTATCATATCTATGGATTTAATAACTGAACACTTTAAGAAATTTCCACTTTCCGATTGCTGCGCTCATTTTCTCACTGTCTTCATCGCACTCTCCTCTCTCTCACTTGCCTTTTTCCTCCTCCGCATTCCCTCTCGTCTCCCTCCACCCGCATGCACACTGCTGTGTGTCTGAGTCTGATCCTCCCTGTTCCCCGCCCCTACTGCTCTGTGTGTGGACAGTCTGGACACACAGTTACACATGTTGAAAGCCTGTAGCTTTCACCAAAGCAAGAGGGGAGGGGACGCTCCCAATGACGAGCCGGCTCCCGTCGTTCACTTCAAATGCTGGCTCTTAGAGCCGGTTCGTTCGCGATCAACACATCACTACACTATATATATATATATATATATATATATATATATATATATATATATATATATATATATATATATATATGTAGCATTGGCAAATTGAGCCCTTTAAGAGCTCAAGATATATATATATATATATTACCTCTACTTATGACCAATAAGCTGTGATACTCTATTTAAATATAAAATATCAACCCTGCTTGGTCTTTATTGTATTTATCAGAAGATTCTAGGATTTTTGCTTTATTAAGTAATTGTACTCACTTCGTTTTGATTCAGAAAAGAGTCAGGTTTATAAAAGTAAGAACTTATTTTATAAAACATGACTAGTTAACTAAGCATTTACTGTGAGTGGATGGAACTAAATGTGATGTATAACTATGTGTCAATGCGGTGTTAGTCAAAACCTCCTTATCTAGAAGAGCTGAGTCTGGATGTAAAAGAATTTGGTTTGCGCTAAGCTATGAAGTTGATATTATCAGAAGCACATCAGACGCTATCTTCACTGTTTTCTACCTCACCCTTTTGGAGACCCTCGTCGCGGATCCAGAGGTCAGAGAGGTCGGATGACCTCGGGGCACCCAGGTCCAGTAGACTGACCACAAGTACCGACTTCCCCAGTCCCGAGATGTCACCAGGCACACAGGTTGGACTAGCTTGCGTCTCAGGAATAACTCTTAGGGATTTGAACAATATCAGCTTTGTTCTGCAGGGACTGTTGCTCATCAGCTTTGCAGGTGCACAAAGGTTTTGACGACGTGTCAAAATCTTTGATGGTTAAAGAGGTGTGCTTCAGATGGCCGGTCTGAAACTTTCTCTAGAACTGCCGAATCACCCAGGGTGACCCAGTTTTAAGGTTTTGATATTATGATTTGCACAGCCAATCAAAGGCTGACAGGCTTGAGAGATGTTACCAAGACAACTCAGAAACACGCCTTCTTTGACCGGATGTTCTGACTGGGTAAAAGACTATTTATGTGCCAGAGTTTAACATACCCTTACTTGTTATGGTGTGAGTACAGATGTTATGACCTCGCCACGTAAACATGTGGAACCACATTGCAGTCATTGTAGACATAACATTCATTTCAAACTTCAATCATTTAGCACAGATTAATGAAGCATTTCATTATAATATAATTATTATAAGTAGCAATAAAGAATGTTTATTTAATGATTATCTATATTATAAGTCATGGAAGAAGTTCATATTGATTTAGGAAATCATTCTTGAATTTAGCAACTGATCCGAGCTGGAGTGTTCCTTATGTGGAGGCCTTGAGGAAGAAAGTTATTCTTGACATGTCGTTATCTGTTGTCAGAGCTGCAGAATCAGAGTCTGTGAGCTCCAGCTGGTATGAAGGCAGGCTCATTTAAAGGGAACACATGCAGTCCTGTGTGTCCTGTTTGACCAGATGTTGAATAGATGTTGAAAGGTCAAACTGTACCTGGAACTGACCATTGCTGGACGTTACATAACCCCCCTTTCCAAGGGCACAGGGTCATGGCAGAGACCACGGGTCATTGGAACAATTCAGAGGCCCTAGGGATTCAGTCCAGGAAGCACAGGTTAGTTCCCAGGCAAAGGCCCCTGGAGTGAGGAAAGCAAACCCCTACACCAGAGAATAGTCAATGTAGCTCCCCAAACTTAAAAAAAAATCCACTTATCACGATCCTCAGTAAAGGAAGCAGATGAGCAGGGACCGGTCCAGGCCCCAGGCAAACCGTAGATCTCCAGCAACCACGGCAGGAACCACAGGACGACCAGACCCACACCAACCGGACCCTCAGGCAGCAGGCAGCCGAATCAGGCGATGTTGCAGAGAGGTCCTCCCAGGAAGCGAGGATCACAGGCGAACCCAGGAGAGGAGAAGAGAACACATGCAAGGCACTTGAATGTAGACACACAAAGATTGCATCTGATGCAAAATAACAAATAAAAATAAACCTAGCACTTTATGTACCTATATGTGCTATGTGGAGCAAATTATGTGAACGGAGTTCAGGTGAAAGAAATAGATTTAGTAAACTACGTGTACTGGAAAAGTGTTGCAAAAGAACAAAATTAACATAACCCTGTAATATATTTAAGGGAAAATCAACGCATTGGAGCAAAAATATTATCAGAACAGAAGGGCAAAAGAATCTGTAGCTCATAACTGGTAAAAATCTAGATAAAATGGATTATAATAGAAATGACGAAAATAAATCAGCTGTAATGAATGCCGGCATGCAGCCAGACCCATGCCAAGAGGACTACAGCGGTTTCGCGCATAGTGTCGAAGCTCTGAAGAGAAAGCAGCCATGACGCAATGTGTGCATTGGTCACCACACCATCTCTGATGTGTTGACTGTTAAGGAAGGTCACTGGCTGATGTAGGGTTTCAATGATGATTTTATGTCCACTAATGTAGCTGGAAAAGTGTTTAATCACCCACATGGTGGAAAGCAAAGCTTTTCACAGTATATATATATATATATATATATATATATATATATATATATATATATATATATACACACTGTCACAATCTGCTCCTGCCTCCCTGAGTTCCAGTGTCCTGCGCCTGCTGCTGTTGAGTTCCAGTGTTCCAAGTCCGAGTGTTCCAGTTCCCGTTCCAAGTCCGAGTGTTCCTGTTCCCGAGTCCGAGTGTTCCTGTTCCCGAGTCAGAGTGTTCCCGTTCCCGAGTCCGAGTGTTCCTGTTCCCGTTCCGAGTCCGAGTGTTCCTGTTCCCGAGTCCGAGTGTTCTTGTTCCCGAGTCCGAGTGTTCCTGTTCCTGTCCCGAGTCGACGTCTCCCTGTTTCCCGAGTCGACATCTCAAGTGTTCCGGTTCCCAAGAGCAAGTGTCCCGAGTCTCCAGTGTTATGCGGCTTTTGTGGGCGTCTGGTATCCGGCCCTTTGGGGGGGGGGGGGGTACTGTCACAATCTGCCCCTGCCTCCCTGACTGTGTCTCTCCTCTGCCTGAATAGTCTTTATTGTTCTCACCTGCCCCGTGTTAATCCGCCCATGTGTTCCTGATTTTCCCCTGTGTATTTATACCTCCCTTCTTGTATCAGTCTTTGCTGGATCATTGTTTGTTTTCAGCGTTGTTTTTGTTCTGTCGTTCCCGCTCTGCCATTAAAACTACTTTTATTTCATCCGTGCCTGCATTCCTGCCTCCTGATCTGCTCCACCACACATGGTCTGCCGCCATCGACACCCTCAACGTGACATACACATATACATATGATGAAATATATTTTATATATATATATATATATATATATATATATATATATATATATATATATTAAAATAAAAGAAAAGGCTTACATAATGTGAATGTATATTATTAAGCTTGATCTGTACAAAAGGAGATGTGTTGTCTGTAAACTTGATTGTATGCTTTGATTTAGTTTAAGTACAAAATTGGCCCCAAAGAGAAATTTGTGTTATTAAAGGTGATTTCCATCAAACCTACTGACAGATTAGTCTGTCTGTCAGCCATGCTGTGTGCAGGGACAGCTTGAAACACTCAAATTCTGCCACAAACAAGCCGCCGTAAGAAGGGTGAAAACAAGTTCTACTTCTCT